AAGATCAGGGTCTTTGGAAGGACTGCTCCTTTAGCAAGTCAAGGAAAGGGTGGTGACAACCAAACAGCTCCAGAGAGAAAAGAATGAGTAACTTCCAGCGCTAATAATTTAACTTGTGTCTTCCATGGGCATAACTGTTTGTACAACCTGCCCTACAGCACGGTGAGATGGGCCAACCCCCTGCAGTAGTGCAGAGAAGGCATTTCTGATTTTTAAACCAAATCCCATTAAGGACACCCCTAAGCTGTACCCCATGCCAGCACTCTCTCAAGTGCTCAAAATCACCTGAACTGGTCCCATCCAAGGCTTCTGCAGGTTTGTGACAGGGCCCAAAACTTCTCTCCACCTGCAGCAAGGGAAACAGCGAGCAGAGCCCCCCGAAAGTGCAGGCCTGCTGCGGTGACAGCGGGGACCCTGCCTGGGGGATGCTGTCAGGAGAGAGGCCAGGTCGTGCCGCTGGCCTCATCTCTGTCCTTAGGCTCCCTCTAGAGTTTACATCAAATGAACTAAAGGTCTTAAACTTCGCCTGGCTTCTGCCCGCTCTGAGTGCAGCCGCCTGCAGCGCGGGGCTTGCGAGCAGCAGCTCCCTGGCAGCTCCGGGCCCCCCTCGGCACTGCTCCCGTCCTGGGATGATGTCCCAGCGCCTTCCTAAGCTAAAATGGCTCTTTCCTCCCTGGCGGTCTCTGCTGCTGAACCTCACAGGGCCCTTATCCTGCCCAGAAGGGAAGGGCTCCTGTTAAGCACGTTACAAACACCCCCAGGGCACACAGGTGAATTCTCAGGACCTGCACCTCGAATCTCACAGCAGCCTCAACGCACATCTCTCGAGGAAATTAGCGTTTTGCCCAGAAAACTGGAGGTGTGGGGAAACAGCATCAGGCCAGTGACAGCAAGGGTGGCGAGAAGCAAAATTCCTCAAGCCTCTGGCTTACAAAAGAGTCATGCCATGCCCCTGCAATCTTCATCCTCAACGCTGGAAGACACGGCCCATGGAGGAGCTCAGACGTTATTCACAGTTTCCTCGCTGTTTGCAAGAATCACAGAATCAGCTGGGTTGGAGAAGATTTTTAACATTACCATGCCCAGCTGTCACCCCAGCACTGCCAAGTCCACCACTAACCCATGTCACTGAGGGCATGTACATGGTTTGTGAACACTGCCAGGGATGGTGACTCCACCACTGCCCTGGGAAGCCTGTTCCAATGCCTGAGCACCCTCTCAGTGAAGAAATGTTTCCTAATAATCCATTTCCTAATTCCTAATATTCCTAATATCTTCCCTAGCACAGCTTGACACCATTTCCTCTTAACACTTGTTACTTGGGAAAAGAGACCAGCCACCTCGTCACTCCATCTTCCTTTCAGGTAGTTTTAGAGGGAATATTGAAAATCCCAAACAACCCTGATGCTTTATGTGTGCGGTTCAGATGTGCTTTGCTGGTTCACTTGACAACCTTATAAAGTGCTGGGGAAGGAGGGGGGCCAGAATGTGGGCGGGAAGCTTGCCTAAGCGGTTCTGGAGGAAAGAAAAACAGCAAGCAGCTCTGCCAGTGGAAAAGCCCAAACAAGAGAGAGGCACGGGGTACTGGGAAGAGAGGGGACAGGGTGTTCAGAGCCTGCTGGAGGAGCCAGGACATTCCTCGCACAGCCCTCCCTATAAACACTCCTCCCTCCTTCCTGGTTCACTCCTCCAAGTTTTGGTTGGGCTTTGGGGGTATTTTTCTGTAGTTGTTTTCCTTTCTTTCTCTAATATCTTCTTCCGATCTTCGTCTGGCTGCATCTTCAGCAGAAACGGCAACAGAGCGAGATAAAACCTGGCTTTTGGAGGCGGCAGCTCTGAGGTCGCTCCCCAAGCTTATCTCCTCACCCGAATCTCGTTGCGCGACCGCGCAAAGCCGCGCACCCCCCTGCCTCCCCTCCTCCGCCCCGCTGCTGTGCCCTTCTCTTGCAAGACGGTGGCGCTCTGATCTTTCCAGTTCTTTACTCCGGGACTTTCTAGGGTTTGGTTGCTTTGGGTTGGGTTTTTTTTTCCCTGTATTTTTTTTTTTTCTTCACGCTTCGCTGCTACTACGGGCGGGCGCCTGCCTCTCTCACGATTTGCTGCAGCCATCGGGGGGGCCTGACTGTAAACAAAACACTTTAGATCATGGCAAGGTCGCTGCAGACACAGCCTTTTTTCTCCTTTGCAGCCACAGCGATTTAAGGTGGATTGACGAGACTGCACTTGGATGGGGAGGGGGGGAGCCAAAAGGGCTGCGATGCTGCAGCCGCTTCCTCCCCTCACGGGGGTCCGCTCTGCTGTGTCGTGTGTGTGTCGTGGTCGTCCCCCGTCCCGTGTCCCCCCCTTAATTTATCCCCTTTCCTGATCATTTTGTCCCATGGCGACCGAAACGTTTTCGAGGGTGGCTGCCCGCGTTAACGACCCAAACGTTTTCGAGGGCGCACAGCCCGCGTTAAGGCGAGGAGCTACCGCGGATGCGGGGGTACAGCGCCTGTCTCCCCTTTCGGAGAGCAAGGGGAGAGGTGTGGAGGAGAAGGAACGGAAGGATAAGCCAAGGCGAGGAGCGTTCCTCTCGCATTTTCTCTTTTGATTCCATCAGTGGCTTAAATTATTCGCCGCCCCCGCCCCCCTCCCTCCCCCCCCCCTTGCCGCCCCTTTGGCTTTAATTAGGCGTTTTCAATATAGTTGTACAGCATCCAGGGGCTCAGTCCCGGGCCCTTGTGCCAGGGGAGGTTAAACAGAAAAAAAGGAAGAAGGTTCTTTCCTACAGTAACCTGTTTCTTTCACAAAAGCTGCAGATAAATCAGTGCTCCTTTGCACTGCGGTTGTGTTCCCGGTTGTTACCTGTGGGGCACGCAGTCTTTCCAACATTTCGACCCCATTATTATCCCCCTCCAAGTGTTCCTACTCTTGTACAATGTTGTAATCCAAACGACAAGGGTTTTGCCTCTCTTCTGTGGACTCGGGAGACAAGCAGTGACTTCCAGGGATCACAGACTGGGAACTCCTCATCTAAGGAGGGACGTTCTGGTGGGACATTCATCAGGTTCCCAGAAGGCAGGCCCCCATCAGCAGGGCGCATCTTCAGGGAGCCCCCGGGCATATTTTGTGGATCACTTTCTTAGCCTACAACGACTCTCTTGTGTAGAACAATAAAACAAGCCAATTGTCCCATACCTGACAGAGAAAGTGAAGCTTGAAATGGCACTTCCTTGCTGGTGGCTATGGAACTCAAAGACTGGAGAAACGAAGACGAAATCCTGCAAATCAAGCAGCTGAACAGGCCCCACTTTGCCACCTGATGCAGTTTGATCATGGTCCTGAAACTCCAAAAAAAAAAAGTCTCAGCACCTGCAGACATGAGAATGTCAGCTTTAATTTTCTGCAAGTGAGCTGCTAGAACTTGCAGTTGTTGAGAGGAATTGGAAAACAACTCCTGAGTGCTGAAAAACCTGGCAAACAAAGGAAAATAACATGTCTAATACTTTATTTCAGCCGTGTGCTTTTTAAACCAATCTCATTTGTATTCTTCCTTTTTATTGCCTGTGCACATCATGGTTTTGAGCTTGGGTCTGGCAATGCTGAGATTATTCTGGTCAGCAGTGTTAGCAGGGTCCAGGGGCTACTACCCTGGGGCTGTTGAAGACAAGCAGGCTGCTGTGGCCTGGGCTTGAGCACTGTGTAATGGTTTAGTCCCCACATCAGTGTGTGCAAAGTCTAGTGTCATCATTTTACAAGAGCAAAGGTTTCAGTGGCCCACCAAAGCTGTAGACCCCAAACCGTAGTGAGTCTGTGCTTGTAAAGCTCAAGGTAAATAAAAGTTCCATGTCTTCAAGGCCAGTTGACAACTGGTGAGAGTCAACTTCTCTCAGCCAGTTAAACACAGTTGTGTTGACCCCTGTCTTGTAAAGATAGATAGCCTATCACTGGTACAGTGCCCCCAGAAGCAAAATTTGGAGCGGGATGCTCTGCTTGCAGAGGACACCTTTCCAGATGGATTGGTGTGAAAAGCCTCCAACTCTCCCAAGATTCAAGCCCTGGATCTGGGCCCCTGGAAAAAACAAAATCTTCAGCACTTGAGAGGACCCGCAGTGACCTGCAAGGTATTGAGGGGGCTGCCCTGCCTGGAGGGGGGAACCTGGCTGTGGAAGGGGCTGGAGATACGGAGGGTAGTGAGGAGGACTCTTGTGTTGCTCTTATCTCCACCATACCTGCTGTGGCTATCCGAGGAAGTTGCTTAGAAAATCCCTGGCTGTGACTCTTGGCTCATCTAATCCTCCAAGCACACAAACAGGACAAAACCGAATGCTTTTGTTTTCTTTCCCTGCTTGCCGAGATCTGAAATCCCTGCAGAGGCTTGTTTAGAGCCATTTCTTCACCTCGTCGTTTCTCTGCTGAGAAGGCAGCAAAAGGTGATTCCTCCCACCCTGGGAGCCAGTATCAGCCCGTGGGGTCGGGGTGCTGTGGAGTCAGGGTGATACTCTCCCCTGTATATCTCGGGAGGAGGAGGACAGGCTCCTGTTAGCCCCGAGCTTGCCTCCAAGTCCGGATCTCGGAAAGGGGAAGAGGAGGGGGCTGCATCCCAAGAGCTCAACCTGGGACAATCAGAGCGGGTCTCAGGAACGAGTCAAAACGTACCCAGCCGCCACCATTAGACAATCCTGTCGGGCAAGCCACGGTGTGTGGTGCGGTTTTCTGGGGGCTGGGGGCCACAAATCCCACCGATCGCGGGATTGGCAGAGATAAAGAGGCGGTGAGCCCTCCCGCCCTCTCCCCTCTATCGCTCCTGCTCCCCGTCCCCATCACGGCTCGGCCAAGCTCAGCTGAGCGCAGCCCAGCACAGGCGAGCCTCAGCCCAGCCCACCTTTAGAGCCAGCAGCGGTGGCGAGGTAGGGCCGGGCTGACGGGGCGGTGCCCGCTGCTGTAACCAATGGCTCGGCCGGGCTGTTTAAATAGACTCGTCCTGTCAATCATTTTCTTCTTCGTCAGCCTCCCTTCAATCGCCATATTGGGCAACCGAGAAAAGGGCTCGTCTCCTCTTGTTTTTTTCCGTCTCGCTTTTACTACGAGGCGGCGGCTGTGCAAGCGGCGGAGACATCGCCACCAACCACCGGCGGGGCAGCGCAGAGCCGGAGCCGCGGAGGACCGCGCACCGCTCCGCTTCTCCACCCGCCCGGGGCTCACCGCCGGCGGCTCCGGCGGCGGCTCTCGGGGCTCCCCCCTGGGCCGGCGCTTATGCAAGGGCTCCTCCTCGCCCCTTCTCCGCGGGCCGAGGGCGAGCGGGGCCGAGGCGGGGCCGGTGAGCGGGGCAGCGAGGAGAGGAGACGCGGAGGAGAGTCGAAGAGCAGCGCCCGGGAATAAAAGGCAGAGAGGAGGAGAAGGAGGCGGTGGCGGCTGGAAAGGGGGGAGAGCAGCGAGCAAAACAACCGCCGCCAGAAGAAAGAGGGTGGGGGGAGATGTCAAACGTCCGTATTTCTAATGGAAGCCCTACGCTGGAGCGCATGGAAGCCAGGCAGTCGGAGTACCCGAAGCCGTCAGCTTGCAGGAACCTCTTCGGGCCGGTGAATCACGAAGAGTTAAACAGGGACTTGAAGAAGCACCGCCAGGAGATGGAGGAGGCATGCCAGAGGAAGTGGAATTTCGATTTCCAGAATCACAAGCCGTTGGAAGGCAGGTACGAGTGGCAAGCTGTGGAGAAGGGGAGCTCGCCCGACTTCTACTTCAGACCCCCCAGGCTACTGAAAGCTGTCTGCAAGTCCGCCGGCCGCCAGAGCTTGGATGTAAACGGGAATTGCCAGACCGTGGTTTTTGTCGGTTCTCAGGGAATCTCAGAGGACACTCACTGTGTAGGTCAAAAGACTGATGTTTCTGAAAATCAGACGGACTTTGCAGAGCAGTGCACTGGGCAGAGGAAAAGACCTGCCACCGATGGTAACGTACCCCTCCCTGCGAGAGCGGCACCGCTTTTCTCCGCCTGCCCGGCTGCTGTCAGCGCCGGGGCTCCCGGCCCCCTCGCCCGTGCCACGCGTGGCCTGGACCGCCGTGGGCTGTGTCCCGCTGGGCACCGATTTCGTGAGCCCCCATGCCCCCCGCCTCCTCTCGCCTGTGAAAGCCCAGGTGCTGCTCGCAGTCCCGGGGTTGGGGGAGCGGGGGGTGTCCGCGTTAAGTGGGAGCCGGTACATGATTCGGCAGGAAAAGCCTTTAGACGGAGACCCCCTCGTTCCCCGTCTGTCCCTCGGGGAGGACCCGGCCTCCTGCCCAGACAGAAGGAGGTTCGGAGCGCTCGGGTGAAGTGAAAGACAGCCAGGGATTTTAGCCAAAAATAGGGAACTTGGTCCCTTACCTAGAGAGGAGCTCATCTCCCCTCCCCCTGTTCCCGTTCACGTAGCCGATAGCTGACATGGGGGTGGGGGGATATTACCCTTTGGCCCCACCTATCTCCCCCCCCCCCTTCTCCAGCGCCGAGCAAACATCTGGAAGGAAAATATCTTAATATCGCTCCCCCCCCCCCCCCTTTGTTTCTAATTTTCCACTCTTAGATTCCTCTCCTCAAAATAAAAGAGCCAACACAACAGAAGAAGGGGTTTCAAAAGCCTCCCCCAGTGCCAATTCAGTGGAGCAAACACCCAAGAAATCAACCCCAAGAAGACATCAAACGTAAACCGTTTAGGTGGGTGCCCTGTAGGCGCTTGCCTTAGGATGCAAATGATGCAAATAAGGGGAAGAAAGAGTGACCGAGCGGGTGTCCTCCCCCTCTGCAAAGGAGGGGGGGGGGCTTCGGGCCCCTTTGGGCTGGCTGCGGGGTCGTCCCTCCGAGGGAGGATGGCTTTCCCCAAGCGCTTGGGGACGAGGGTGTTTGGAGGAGGGGTGGAACGCGCAGGGCTTTAAGAGAACAAAAAACAAGGGGCGAAGCGCAGCGCCGGACTATTCGATTTAGCCCGGGCTGGGGCTGGGATAGACCAGCGCTGCCTTTCTCTTTCCCTCCTTCCTCCGGGACGGGGACCGCCCTTTCCCGAGGGACGGAGTTTCAAACTCGGCTGGTGTATAATGTCAGATGACAAGGGATTTCGGGGGGCTTCCCGTGTCGTGTCCATGTCCCGTTACCAGCCCCCCGCACCACCCCCCTATGCTATTTCACCTACAATGTCCGCGTTGCCGTCGGACGTCGCGGTGACCTCCCACCCCTGGAGAAAAGGGTCAAGAAGTTGGGTCTAAGGGGAGAAATCGGTCAAGAAGTTGCGTATGAGAGGGAATCCGGGCACTTTTGTTAAAAACTCAAGCTAGGCAAGATGTTGGGGTTTTTTCCTCCCCTTTTTTTACTCTTCCCCCCACCCCCCGTTGTTTTGGGTTGTTTTTTGTCGCTGGCAGAGGGAAGAGAGTGGGTTAACGGGAGCTGGTTTCTGTTTTTTTTTTTTTTCCCCCTTTTTCTTTTTTTTTTTTTTTTTTTTTTTTTTTTTTTTTGTCTTCCTCCCTTGTTGTTGTTTTGTTTTAAGGCGAGGGCAGGGGCGGGGGGAGGGAGGGGAAGGAGGGAGTTAGTTGGTAAATTGCGCCGGCGGGTTTGGGAGCCGAAGTTAGGAGGGAGGTTTACAAACAACGGGTTGCGATTTTGCAGAAAGAGATTATTAAGCTATAAAAGCAGAAGTTGCAACCAATTAGTCCTGCTGGGGCGAGCCGTGCCCGGAGCGCTGCCCTGTGCGCGGCCGTGCCAATGCCGCTACTACCGACCGCTTGTTCGGGGCCGGGAGGGGGGGTACCCGGGACACGACGATGACGGACACGAGCCCCGGGCTGGAGAGGGGGATCATGCCGAAGGATCCAGGGGCGGCTGGACCGGGGCCCCGGGAACGGGGCGGGGGGCGGGCGGCGGGGCAGGGCTAGCCCGCCCCGGGGATGCCGTGTCGGTTTGAACCGGTTGCGCCCTGGATCGCGTTTCTTTTCGGTGTTTTCTAACCGCTTTCTTCTCTCCCTCCCCGTCATCTTCTCTTCTTCCCTTCTCTGTCCCGTTGCAGAGCGGAGGATGTGCGTGTCCTCGTTCGTCGGGTACGGCGATGAAGCGAGGGAGATGTAGAGGCGTAGTTGGAAATGAAAATACATATCGCCGATCTCAGTGGGATGGAGGTCCTGTACAAGCACTGAAAAGAAAAAAAAGTAACAAAAATACAAAAAACCAACCAGCCAAGAACAGCAACAAAACAAAACCAACAACAACAGCAACAAAAAAAAAGCAAACAATAACACTAAAATTTTAGGCACTCTTAAAAGACCTGCCTCTAAAAGCATTGGATGTAGCATTGTGCAATTAGGTGTTTCCTTATTTGCTTCATTGTACTACCTGTGTATATAGTTGTTACCTTATGTAGCACATAAACCTTGTTGGGAGGGGGGAGGGAGTGGAAGAGGGTGACCGATCTGAACTTGCTTTCACAATCTAGCAAGCCGAGAAATGTATGAAGAGAAGCAGTGTAGGTTTTGGGTTTGTTTTTTGTTTTGTTTTTTTTTTTTTTTTTTATACTTACTTAAAGATGTATTGTCCCTTTAAGTGGGTCTGCCCTATTTTTGTCCTCCCCCCCCCCCTTTTTTTTTTAATGGACCATCGTGGTAACCCTGCTCAGAGCCTATTATTACAGGCCTCTTGTGAAATACCTTTCTACTCCGTTAAGCTTAAGAGGTGGGAGCTGTGATGATTCCGTTATGTAGTAGCAAACGTTTTCCCCCCCGCCCAAATCCATGCAGCAAATTTGAATGCCTGTAAAAGTTGTGCAACATCATCCCCTTGTTACATTGCCTGATTTCCTGGGTTGTTTTTGTTTTTTTGTGTTTTTTTTTTTTGGGGGGGGGGAGAATGGATGTTTTTGGGTTGTTTTGATGTGTATGGGTTTTGTGCCTTTTTTTTTTTGTTTGGTTTTAAGTTTGTTTTGTTTTGTTTTTTTTAAAAAACCCTTATCTGGAGGGCTTTACCTCTGAATCCTGGATATTGTTGTTTTCTGATCTGACCCACTTCCCAAAGTGTTTGTGTGTGAGGGAAAAGGGATACTACATCTTTAAACAGTATTTCTACATTGCCTGTGTACCTGTATGTAAAAATAAAACAAAAAAAGTTTGAAGTGTACCTGTGTACATAACTCTGTAAAGACACTGAGAAATTATACTAACTTATTTATGTTAAAAGATTTTTTTTTTTAATCTAGAAGACAATATTTTTCCCCATAAAGCCAAAGTGGCATGTTTTTGTGCATTTGTAAATGCTCTATTTGGTAGACTTTCAGGTGTTTTTTTTTTTTTGTTTATTTTTGGGGGGGGATCCTTTTTCTGATACAGACTATGGCTGTGCTTAAAGGATTGCAGACTGAGCCAATTTAATTCCTTTTTTTTTCTTTTTTTTTTCTTTTTTTTTCTTTTTTTTTTTTTGTAATGTGTGGGAAAAAAATCCAGATTGATACTGTTTCACATCAAGCAATCAATAAAGAAAACTGCCATATATAAGAAATATGGTCTTCGTTAGTGTGTGTTTCAACCTCCCTCGGCCTGGCACAGGAAGAAATAAGGTTCCTTCAAGAAATAACAGCAAGTTTTCTCTGCGTATCTATCTCTTTCGTGTCTGCAGCGCAGGTGGAAGTAAGCAGCTCGCTCTCTTCACTGTTAGTGCCACGCTATCGTTTCTTCACCGAAAGGGTCGTCAAGCCCTGGAACAGGCTGTCCAGGGAAGTGGTGGAGCCACCATCCATGGAGGCATTTGAAAGATGTGTGGATGTGGCGCTTAGGAACATGGCTTAGTGGTGGACTTGGCAGTGCTGGGTTTATGGTTGGACTCGGTGATCTTAAAGGTCTTTTCCTATCTGAATAGTTCTGCGATTCTCCTCTGATAACTGGAAGCAATATGCAGAAGGGTGGCATTTCCTTGTAATTCTTTTTGACAAACACGTAGCTCGAGGTATCTCTTGCATTCTGTCGTTCCGACTGCAAAGGCTTAAAATTCGACCGCAAATTCGCACCTTCCCAGGCCGGACCGCTGCCAGATCTGGACGGGAGAGACACCGTATCTCCGTTTCCTGTTTTCCCGGGGGATCCTCTTTTCCCGGGGGATCTCCCGATAACACACACACACCCGGCTCTCCGCCGCCGTTTCGCACGCAAACGCTGTGCCTCTCCTCCGTTTATTGCTAACAAAGATGGCGCCTCGCACACCCTTGTCCCGGCAGATGCTGGTGCAGGCACCGGCAAGGCAGCCGCCTCCCCTCACCCTCTCTCCCCCCCCCCCCCTCCTCCCGTTACTCCCCTCCTCCTCCCTCGAGCCCGGCTGCTCCGACCGGCGCCGCCACCGGGGTCCAGCAGCATCGACGTGTTACCCCCCCCTCCCCGCCCCACTGAGCAGCGCCGGGGGAGGCGGTCACGGCCAGAGAGAAGGGATGGCACCGGGGGAAGTGATCCCCGTGGTGTGGAGATACATAAATAAACACGTAAAACGGGGAGAAAGGGGGGCGGACACGACCCTGTGCGAGTCTCACCCAGCGCTCGCCCTGGTCTCGTTTCCCCCCGCCCTTCCCGATGCAACGCGATCCTGTTGTTTATCTCGGCAGCGCCCGGGTTCGCTCGTTCTCGCTCTGAAACCGCCCCGAAAACACGGGGTTGTGCCGGCCTTGCGCTGGGGAGGGACGGAGAGGGGCAGTGACTACCCCTCGCTCACCAGCCCCGCTTCAGCCTCGGCCCCAGCCCCGGCTCGGGCAGATGGCACCCGGGAACGGGAACGGGAACGGGCAGCGTTTGCGGTGGACTTCTCCTCCTTCGGCTGCGAAGGATCGCTGAGCAGCCTGCGCGCCCTCCCCCCGCTCCCGGTTTGACTCCAGGCCTCCCCATGGCTGGGGGGAATACCGGGGTGTGTGTGTGTGTATGCGCCTCTGAAACTGGGGCCGATGAACGTGGAAAGCCTTCTTGAAAATTAAAAATAATAAAAAAGTGTGGGTTTGTCGTCCCCCCCGCCCCCCCTCCCAACACGAACAAAGTGATCATGATGGAAAACAAACAGCAGCGCCTCCCAGAGCCGGCCTATCCCAGCGGCCGGCGCAAGCGAAACCTCCCTCCCCTCCCGACGCCGGCGGGCGGGTGGGGCGCGGGGACTGAACGGGGTACGGCCGGTGCCGGCGCTGGTACCCCTACACTGGGCCGGGGCAGGGAGGTGTGTGTGAGGGCGGCGGCCGGGGTCCAGCCGCTGCTCCACCATGCGGGGTTTGGGTCTGCTCCCCGAGACCCCCCCTCCTCCTCCCAGCCGTAGCGGCTGCAGCAACACCCGCGTTGTTGGCTTTATTCGTCGTTTCTGTTGTTATTTTCGCTCCTTCCTTCACCTGAGGCCGCACCCGCCACGATCGCACCCCCCCGGGGGAGCGGCACCGCCCGCCCCGCGCCTCCTCCCGCTGGCGGTGGCCGGGGGGACGCGCGCAGCCGGGAAGGGCGGGGGGGAGAGCTCTGCACACTCCCGCCACCGCCTCTCGCGGGGAGGGGAACAATACACTCAGACCCGCCCCGCGGCGGCTGAGGGGTGCGGGGAGACCGGGGCTCGTCGTCGCGTACCCCCAGAGGAAGCGGCCCGCACTGGGGGTGACGGGGGGGGGGGGGGAAGGAGGATTTAAGGTGGCGCGGGGCGGGGCCGGGCCGGGCCTCCCGCCTGCGCGGCGGGACGCGGCGTTTGAATTCTACTCCCCCGCCCTTCCTCCTCCTCCCCTTCTCGTAGCTCTTCCTCTTCGGCCGGCCTGAAGGCAACCTTGCCCCGCCGCTTCCCTTCGCCGTTCCCCGCGCCTAGCCGGGACGGGAAAAGAAAACACGGGAGGGTGGGGGGCGGCGAAGAGAATGGAGAAACGGTCGAACTCTGCGCAGTGAACGGCCCGTGTGGGGTGTTGTCCCGGCCCCGCCCCGCCCCGGCGCTGAAGATGGGGCCGCCCCGACTGATGCAATAGGCGCGGGCAGCCTCCTCCTTGTTTCCCTCTTGCTCTCTCCTTTCTCCCTCCCTCCGCATCCTTCCCGCCGCCGGTCACGCGTACGCGCAAGATGTGCGCACGCCTGGACGCTTGAGCCTCGCCGCGGCTCAAGTTCCATGTGTGTTTCTTCTATCTCCGTTCCGTGGCGGGAGCTTTCTTCCCCTCCACGGAGCGGGGCCACGGCCTGCCGCTGCTGCAGGCCCGCGGGGAAGGATGGGGGCAGCCCCACAGGGAAGGAAGGGGGGACAGGGACATGGAGGTCGCAAGCCGGGCTGTACGTGCCCACAGTGGAGGGAGAGGATTTGCTTTCCCTGGTGCAGCGGTGCGTGTTCCCGCGCCAGGGGAAGGATACGGCCCGTTCCTTAGCTGCTATGCTTTGGAAGTGGATCTGACCGAGTTTCTTTCGAGGCGTTTGACTGCAAGGGGAAGCGCTAACGATGTGTGTGTGTGTCTGTGCGTGTCCTCGGGAGTCAGCGCTGACACCCGCTGCCGCTGCGCGTCAGATACGGCGCTGGCCCGGGCTTCCTTAAGTAGGGAAATTAACTGGAAAACGAAGTTTTCCGACATCCATACCCTGCCGCACACCCAAGTAGCTTCAGCTGGAAAAAAACCCAGCCCTGAAGAAACACTGAGTTTCCTTTGCAGAAGAAAACATTCCACTTTAGAAATGTCAACATGTTTTGTTTCAACATCTCCTGGTGGCATTTTGGTGCTTTCAACTTTTCATTTTAAGTTTTTTTGTTTTTTAATTTATTTTGAAAGCGATTCCTACTGTCTTCTTTGTAACTTCTATTAAGGTTACAAAGAAAAAAAACTTACTAAAGTTACAAAGAAAATGTTTACAGTGTAAACGGCTTGAACAAAATGTGTCATTGCAGCAAAAAAAAAAAAAATTACATGAATTGTTTTGCTCTCTCCCCAGTTAGATCTTTCCTACCTTGATTTTAGTGGAAGAACCTTCAACATTTTCTGTTCTTTTTCAGTATTGATTTTCTTTTCCTTCTCCCACCTCCCATCTTTCATTTACTTACTGAGCTGAAAAAAGGGAGTTTTTCACACTGGGCAGGTAGTATCCTTGTGCTTGTGGTTTGCCATGTTTCATTTGGGCTCAGCCACCTCTGCTATCCAGGGAGCTTGTGTGCTTGTGCTCTCCCTACCTGCTTTCCATCTTGCCCACATCACTCATTGCAAGACTCAAAAATGAGGCACAAAATAGAGGGGAATGCGGTTTTCTGCTGTGTTTGCTTTTTGTCTTTATTTTTTTAACAGAAAAAAATCCCAATACACTTTACTTAAAGGGCAAATAAATGTATCTTCCTATAATACAAAAATTAGTAACGATGATATAATATGTTCATCTATAATGATAACATTGAAAGAGCAGCTACCTAAAAACAAACCAGCATCAGGCGATCCACTCTTAACCTGCTTCTGCCAGAAGAAAACAAGCCCAAACCGACAGCAGCTACAAAAATCCCCTGAACGGAGGTTACTCATGGTGCTAGATGAACCCTGACAGAGGAGAGTTGAAGTCCCCACTCCTCTTCCCACTACCTGTTCCCTGCACAGCCGCAGCAGCCCAGGTGTGGCGAAGGGCCTGGGTATCCTGGGGAGGCAAAAGCAAGAAGGACAGAAAATTGTGTCCAAGCAGAATTACAGGCTGGGTGAGGATGGATTGAGAGCAGCCCTGTGGAGAAAGACTTGGGGGTGTGCGTCAATGAGAAACTGAACATGAGCTGGCTTCAGTGTGTGCTCGCAGCTCAGAAAGCCAACTGTATCCTGGGCTGCATCAAAAGGAGTGTGACCAGCAGGTCAAGGGAAGAGATTCTCCCCCTCTGCTCCGCTTTTGTGAGACCCCACTTGGAGTATTGTGTGCAGTTCTGGGGACCCAACAAGAGAGGGATGAAGACCTGTTGGAGCGAGTCCAGAGGAGGCCATGAGGATGTCCAGAGGGCTGAAGCACTTCTGATTCAGAGGCAGGCTGAGAGAGTTGAGGCTGTGCAGCCTGTAGAAGAGAAGGCTCCAAGGAGACCTTACAGCAGCCTTCCAGTGCCTACAGGGGCCTACAAGAAACCTGGAGAGCGACCATTTACAAAGGTATGTAGGGACAGGACGAAGGTAAAAATGGTTTTAAACTGAAAGAGGGGAGTTTTAGATTAGGCATTAAGAACAAATTCTTCCCCATGAGGCTGAAGAGGCCCTGGTACAGGTTGCCCAGACAAGCTGTGGCTGCCCCATCCCTGGCAGTGTTCAAGGCCAAGTTGGACGGGGCTTTGAGCAACCTGGTCTAGTGGGAGGTGTCTCTGCCTGTGGCAGGGGTGTTGGAACTGAATGAGTCTTAAGGTCCCTTCCAACACAAATCATCTTGTGATTCTATGATTCTGAGGTCAGAAACTGACGTGCTCCCAGGTCTGCTGTGATGGACAAGGACCTGTGTGACTCTGCATTATTGGGTTGGTTTCCATTCCCAGACTGCCATTGCAGCAGGTGACGTGTGCCCTGGCCTCAGGGTTTAAAGCCTGCAGCTCCCTGCAAAGAAGCAGTAGGCTTGAAGTAATGGACGGGTGCAGAGGACCAGGGCAAAATACAGGTGTTGTCCCACAGCTGGCATGCTTCCTAAAATGGCTTTCTTTTTGCAGGACACCTTCAGCTTCTCTAGGCCTCTTCACAGTCAAGATGTGATCTAACGGAACTTGCCTACTATCGCAAAGAGCTAACACATGTTCATGTATGCCTGTCTTCAGTTGAGATACACTCAAGTTAAACACACGCAGCTGGTTTGCCCATTTCTTGGCTTCCCCCATACCTGAGGTACAGCTGTGCACCAGCAGAGCATGGCCACCCTGTGCGTTACTGCACTCTGCCATCACTGGAGAGGGGTTTGGAGCAACCCCTCTGGAAGCCCCTCATTCCCCAGCTGGGCCTGGCTGCGTGCATACTTCCCATCTTAATAAACCTCACTAATACATGATTCTCCACATGCAAAGGGCACAAATGGTGTGTTTGCTGTTGAGGTGCTGTGGGGGAGTTCTCTGGCTCTCGGTTTTGGAAAAGGGAGTGTTGCAGCTGCAGGTAGCACATGATGTGGTGTGCTGCTGTGACCGGTGACACCCATAGTGTATCACAGTTATGCAGTCCATGGCCCAGCTAAGCCAGGCTGTCCCGAGCGGGCAGGCTGTCCTGTCAGGGGGGTGTCCCGCTGCCTCTCGGCATCTTGGCACCTGCCAGCCGGCTCTGGGTGGAAGCACAGAGCAACACACCTTGTGGTTTAGCATTCCCTCTCCACAAAGAGGCTGTGCCAGTTCAGGCTTTTATACCTGGCCGTTCTACTGTGCCTGCAGCTGTTTGGAGGAGCCAGCAGGCAGGAACATAAGTTTCGTTCCAATTTTATCCTTGGCCTCACATCTGAGACTTCAAGCGAGGATTCCAGTTGTGGGCAGACGCCCCATTTCTTGTGCTTCAGACGCTACTCCCACAAAAACCAAGCAGCCCTTTACATAGAAGCCAAAAAAACAACCGTTGCCTGATAAAGCCTTTCTGTCATGACTGGCTCTACCCAGATTGAAAACAGGGACTTACAAGTGCAAAAAGAGCTCCCTATTCCCTTGCTACCTGGGCAGGCTGGAAGAGCTTTGCAAGCAGATGGCTGTTCCCCAGGCAGCACAGTCATAACTGTGCTCTTCACTTTCTTTGGGGAATGAAGCTGGAGGTCTAGGGCTGACATAGCATCTGTTTTTCCTGCCAGATGCGAAGCCTGGAGTTGATGCCATAAGCTTGGGAACCGGGTAGACCACAGGTTTTCTTTGTTTTCTCTTTTCTGAAGCAAAGAGATTAATTGTTCCCAGCCAGGAACATTTAGGACAGGGGATCAGAAAGGAAGGCACATGTTCACCCAGACAACTATAGATAGATATTTATTCCTTTTTATTAGTGGATTAGTGGAACAGAGACCTCTACTGGCCCAGTTTAAAGAGCTGCTGACATACCTCAGCTGTGCATCTGGCTGCTGCCGAGGTCTGCTGCCGGTGGGATTTCTTACTTGCCTTTGCTTCACCTACTTTGGAAGTTTCTTCTTGGGTGACAGGCATTTGCCAAGAAAGCTGGGAAGCAACCTTTCACTGTTTTTCCTTCTGTTTAAGAAACCCAGCATGTAGGGAGTCACTTGGTTATGATTACTAGCACGTGAGTTTGGGGCAGTGCTCAATGTAGTAGGTGAAGTAGTTTATTTCCTTTAGGGGTGGATGAACCTTGGGCACTCAAGCATGTCAGGGAATTAGGGGCTTATTGGTTTTGGAGGACAAGGCAGCAGGGTGTTTTCAACCACTCTAGTGATTTCAGTTGCCTTTTACTCTCTTTCTGTTCTTCCTCCCAGCTGGTTGTGTAGTACTGCAGTGAGGATGGCTTCAGAAACCATCTCTCTTGGGTTGGTGCTCTTTAGCATCTTGCCTCTGCTGTCAGGCAGTTGGATAGATGTTGGCTCCTGTCCAGGCCATACCTGGGGTCAGTGGATCAGTGGATGCTCATATTCCTGGGTTGGGGAAAAGCTAATACATAGGTGTTTTTTTTTTCTAGCAAAGCTGTCTATCTCAGCACATGTAATACAGAAAAGGGATTGGTATTTACAAGCAGGTAGAGCTGGGTGAGCCATGGTTATTCATGGAACATAAGACCTTTAAGATCTGAGCTGCCAGTCTGGCTGCAAGCAATGGAGGCAGTAGTTTCACAGCACCGTCTGTACTGCTGAAACAGTAGCTTAAGCATCCCCTTCCTTCCTTATCCAGCCCACTCGTTCCTGCCTCTGGCATTGCTGGTAAATTTACTGGAGAAATTGCACTGGGGAATGGATCTTGTAGAGATTTCCCACCTTCCCTTCTTTGTTGTTGGTTTCTATGTTGTTTTTCTTCCCCAGCTGGATCAGTTTCTGGTCTAGTTCATCACATGGCTGCACTAAAAACCCGAACAGCACAGTGGGTGGGAATGAGCAAGCTGGCAGCACTACCATGAAATTGCGGCCTGTGAGCCAGTAGGATTATAGAATCAAGGAATGGTTTGGGTTGGAAGGGCCCTTTAAAGGTCATCTAATCCATCCTCCCTGCAGTGAACAGGGACAACCTTATTTAACTATATAAGGTTGCTTCAAGCCCTGTCCAACCTGGCCTTGAACATTGCCAAGGATGGGGCAGCCACAGCTTCTCTGGGAAACCTGTGACAGGGCCTCACCACCCTCACAGTAAAAACTTTCAGACCCAGGGGAATTTGTAAGCTTGTCTGTCCAGGGGGAGTTCCACAAGGTTCAGTCTGAGACCAGGTGGCAGAAATTTCCCCAAGGAGAACCGCAGACTTAATTCTTTTTTCTCTCCGTTTAAAGTGTGCGTCCTGGTGCTGATTTCTCCAGCAGACATCCAGAAGCACCTTAAAAATAAAACGTCAAAGTAAAACAAGCCACTGAACACACAGACCTTCCCTGAGCAAGAAGATGAGAGTGAGCGAGCAAACCACATGTGACAGATGTTAGGCATGTTGCTGAATGCAATTCTGGAAGCTGCTCAGATGCTGTGGTCAGGTGGGTGGCGTTACAAACCTATCTGGGCTAGAAAAAAGAAACATTTTTCTAGTAAATGAAACATATCTGGTAGAGAGAGCACTGAGAGGTAATAAACATGCAGCAGAGAACTGCCTTTTGGGGAAATGCTTTTGGGGGTGAAGCTGTGTCATCGTGGTGCTTTATAAGTAAGTGCCGCATCACTTCGGGGTTAGGAAGGACAAGATGTGCTTGTGGCAGGAAATGGGCATGTGAAAGAGAGCTGCTGGGTTCCTCAGAGTACAATCTGAGTCCTACTATCGCAACAGTCCATTTTAAACTGAACAGCCAGATACTTCTGAGTGGGCCTTTTTTCCTAGTTCCTGGATGTTCTGCATCCAGGGTTTTTTTCATGAAGCCCTGAGTGACTGTTGTGGGTACTCACTTTGAGTAAGAGTGCTTTTTGCTTGTTCTTCACTTGTCTCTTCATCAGCTAAACAGTTCAGTGCACTGAATTCCTCTGCATTCTTAAATGGAATAAAAAAATGGTTTCATAAACCAATATTTTGTAACTTTGGAGAAATTATGAGGGATAGAACTGGTATGCAAACTAGTATTTTGTCTGATGAAATGAAGAACTGTGATGTTCCAAAAATCCCTTGGCCGTTAGCCGTTCCCTGGTACAATCTGAGTGCTGAGATGATGTGATGCTCTTTGGGAAAGCTCTGTAAACCAAAAATGGATTTTGTTCCCCTTGGCCTACTGAGAGCATGAACACAGGACTTCAAACTGAGCCTATGAGACCTCTGTGGCAATGAGGTTCTTCATTAGGACATTAATTTGTAGAACACAAATCCTATGTAACCATATGGGAATGCAGTTGCTGTTCTAGGTACACTGCAAGAAAGGGTAGGAGAGTACAGGAAGAGAGATGATGGGATCTTGTGAATTTGAGATTTTTGATCAAATGCAAAACATTCTCGAGGGACAGTGAACAAAAGCAGGACAGGGAAGTTACAAAAAAAAACATATGAAATGTAAATAGATTTTTTTTTTGCTTGCATTGTTTTTGAAGTCTGATAAATGTAGAGTTTTCTTATATATGACAAACCCTTTTTCAGTCATTTAAGACAGCACATGAGATGATGGAATTTTTCCAGGCTGCCAGAGTGTCTCTCTGTCTGGAAATAGATAATTTATTGTCACATATGACCTTTCAGTAGCACATGATGGTAACCCAGCGTTGCAATCTCAAAAGACCAAAAGAAACTGAGGACACTTGGATTATGCTGAAGAGTCTGAACATTGTTGCTTTTTTACCCCATCCACAAAGACTTACAGCATTTCTTGGGTCAGATGAAGGGCGAAAGAGCAATGTTCACTTTTTCATTAGTAACCCACCAGAGGCTGGATGCCTGTGATTTTACAGGGATGCTCAGATAGATGACAGCCCATCGTTAATCTACACTGAATTGGTTACAAGTGATAAATGGGTTTTTCCAAAGCAAATGAAAAGGTTTTTCTTCTTTAAAAAGATTTACAAACAAACAGCCCTCCTGACCCCCCTTTCCTTCAAATTTGGGTTGTTTATCTCTGCAAGTTGGGCCAGGGCCCCTCCAAAGATTTGCTGGAGCTCTGGCCAAGAATGGGGAGGCCACTGATTCTCCACTTCACTGCAATTTGTTGCCTCTTTGAAGAGCAGCTGTTGCCTTTGTAGTCAACTTTTCTGGGCAAATGAGTATCAGTGGATAGGGTGAGACTTTGTCTGCAGATGGGCAGCAGCAAATTCCCTTCACAGAGGAGACTGCTGGCAGAAGGCTTGCAAGACAGAGGTTCAGCTGCTCCACCAGCCACTTCTCACTGAGAATACACAAGTGGGGATGAAGCAGAGGCATAACAGAGCTACTTTGTGTTAACCTCCTCCTGCCCTGATGTCCTTGGGAAAGATTGATCTTGCTGCCATGCCTGGCACCTACTCCTCAGTGTTTCTGCTACCCCCCTGAGCTCATCTGGAGACCAGGTAAAGGCAGAGTTTCAAGTCCAGGCTAATCTACCGCCAGTGTAGGATGGGGTGGTGTGTTGCATAGGTTTTGTCTGTGTTACAGAGAACTTACTGGGCAGGGCTGAGTCATTCCAGAGAATCACTGAGTCCTGCAAATGCTCAAGTATCTGTGTATCACCCTTCTGCCACCTTTTGTTCCTAGTCCTTTTTTTTTCCTTCATCCAGTATGTCTTTTTATTCTCTGTAATATGTCTGTATTTTCTCTAAGTTTTTCATCCAACCTGCAGCTGACTTCTGAATGGCCAGTTGTGCTGATATTCAGGGCTATTCCCCTTCGCTCCTGAGGATCTGGCCTGCATCCCCTTTGCACCTGAGTGTGTGCCTCTGGGTGGGAGGGAGGTGGCACCAGCACTGCAGGTAAATTCACTAGAGACGGAGCCAGAGCCTCGCTTGTCATGTTAGGTGCCTAAATCCCAGATGTCTGTCCTTAGAACTCTGGGTCATGTGTCACCCTGACATCTGAAGGTGCTTAAGTTCCTCAGTACCTACTTTACATGTGATGGTGCTGAGGTGTCAAGGGCTGCCCAGAAGTACTGAGCGTGACTGACTCGCTCCCATGAAACCCTCCTGTAAGCATCCCTCTGTATCACTCCTGGGAGATGCTGGACCAGATGGGCATGCTCTCTGCACTGAGCTATTCGAGACTTAGAGGGTGCTGCCACTGCTGGCCTCCTCCTCAAAGAGAGCACGCAGAGCTGGTTGTTAGGGGATGCCTTTCTACGGGTCTAAATGATGAAGCAGGCAGGGTGACAGGTATACCTTTCTTATGAGGATTTCTCTTTTGCCTGGCTCAGGCATCTCTGTCCTCCCTGTATCTGGGCTTTGCAGTTGCCACTGTAGGCATGTAATTCCCCTTATCAATTGAGGTGAGAGTCTAAGTACCTGGTTCAGGCACTGCAAGTACTGCTAGGGGGGCAAAGACTAAGAACTCAGACACTCAGGAATGGAGAGTATCACTCTATTATTCAGTTTGGTAGGATCTTAAATTACTGAAGCCATGTCTCTAAAATACATGCTTTCAGGCAGGTTTGGACACAGATGTATATGTCTGTATATGGTACACTTTGCTGCATAAGACAGCCCTTTGGAAAGTGACACCTGGGACCTTGCCAGGTGGCTTTACAGATTTTTGGGTTTGCTTTGTAAGGGTGCTTGCAGAAACAGACTTGTTCATGGATGTCAGGTGGTTTACACTACTGTGTTTTTATGCAGCGTTTCACAAGCACTGGACTAACGGAGAAACAAAGCAGTTTTCATGACCACTCAATCTGTCTTGACTCAGCACACCATTGTTGAATAAAGTATATATGTATTGTTTTCAGACAGCTGTAATCCCTCTGCAGGCTTCAGGGTAATTTAATCTCTTGACATGACTGTGCAACTCCTGTTATTTTTAGGCACACACATTAAGAGAAGAAAGGGTCCATTTAATCTGAAAACATATTAGCAAGTTTTCCTGCTTTCACAAATCTGAACCAGCTACTGCAGGGAATAAACTGAAAGTCGTTAACATATGATTACTATTCGATGGTTAGAATGAAGCAGCCTCATACTTACTCCTCACCAGCAGATACTGCAAAGCCAGTTGCTACTCTTGAAGATTGTACTGACAAAGATTAAAAACTCATTCCAAATTGTACAAAATCATGCCCAGATCCTTCGCTGGTATATATGCATTCTCTGTGTGCAGTGGACTGTTGGGCACGTGGGTGAGCTGGTGGGGATGA